GGGGACCACCTTCCCCCCACACATCCTCTGTGCGCTGCTTGTTGGGTATCCCGACAGTGCCCTTGCATTGGTTTCCTCCAGATGCTCAGGGTCTCTTAGTGGCTCTGACAGTTTCCCGTTATTTTTCTTACATGTTGCTGGCAGTGCACATCTGCACTGTGTCCTGTGTCCCACAGGTGGCTGTGTGAATGGCTCCCTAGGAGCCCCACTCCCGGCCTGCACCCCTCGTGTGCTCCCGAGGCTGCTCTCCCACGCTGAATTCAGGCTGGGCCTGTGTGAGCTGGTGAAAGGGCTTGTGTGTGAGGCTCGTCCTCTGTCAACGCTGCCATTACCCATTACGTAAGCCAGCCCCTCAGAGTGCCAGGCCACGGGAGAAGGGCCCAGCCCCTGCCCACTCTCCAGCAGACGCAGCCCACAAGGGCGCTGGGCAGCACCAGCAGACCTTCCAGGCCTACCTACAGACCCGTAGCACTGGCTGGACAGTGGCTGAGGACTGTGACGGTGGGGTTCTTCCTTCCCCCTACACAAAGTCCTGGACTCAGCTTCCACTTTGCTGTTATCTTTAATGGGGGAGAAGTTGGGGGGGGATGGGGGTGTCTCAGTCTCACTTCCTCTGTCACTTGAGTGTCCCAGCCTGTCTCAGGGACGGGAACCCTGGGTTCTTCTGGGGCAGCACTTTCCTGGGTGGACGCAGCATTAATTCTTATCTCTGGGCTAGGGAGCCTCTTCTTTCTTTTGATCTCAACTATGTATTTAAAAAGAAGGTGACTTTTGTTTGGCATTTCTCTGAGTGTGTGGGGTGTCCACGCCAGTGTAGCCCGGCTGCAGGGTCACTCGTCCAGGCTTCTCAGCCCCCGAGTTCCTGCACATGTTGCCGAGGGCCCAGTGAGTGGTTTGCTTGTAAGTGAAAAAGCTTCACAGAACTCAGTATCATATATTTTTCAAACATACACACATGCAAATAAAATTATAAAGTTAGTACTGAAAGATAAATGTTATATCAAGCCCTGAGCAATGATACCTCTGGGGAGTAAGGAGGGAAGTGAGATTAAGGGTGGTAGCCAAAAGTGACTTCAAGTTTATTTGTAAGGTTGTATTTTCAAAATTTCCTTTCAATATCTCATATAGGCTCGGCGCCTGTGGCTCAAGTGGCTAAGGCGCCAGCCACATACACCTAAGGTGGCG